TGCTCTGAAGACAAAACTGATGCTGCATTGTCAAAATTGGCATCTTCCATTTGCTGGTGTACCTGTTAGAATAGAAGAGCAACTTGAGTAAGGGAGAGACTGGGTTCAGTCATTAAATCTAGTATTGAGTATTTAAGTTACACCCAGAAAATTAAACATAAAATGACCATCTAATATAGCCTGTAAAGTTTTGTCGATCACATAATAACTTTTAAATTCAAGCATGGTGATACATATTTGTGCTGAGTTGCTTTTCCGAATTCAGCAAATCACATGCACATTCAAGTCCAAATTTCTATCCCATGTAAGCCAAATATGAACACTAATGAGACATGTACCTTCTCAAGGATCGCAGATTGGTCATCCAAGTGAAATTTACGCATGTATTTTAGCATCTCCAGTTGCTGCAGAAAAACTATCACCTTAGTGATTTGACAATATGAATTGGCAAACATTTATTTTTCCTAAACTTTGATTCAACAGTACCTGTTCCTGTATTATATGTTGACTATGCATTCTTTCAGCAAATTCATCTGGTCCAAGCTCAGCTTCATCACAGACCACCTCTTCACTGTGATATCATAGAATGAACAAAATCAGCTAAAGAAAGAATCAGACAACCGACTGTCCACCAGAAAGAAAAATCCTGTGAAGAAATTATCATAGTCATGCAATACTTTCCTCTTCAAGAACTCAGATACAAATGCATAATTATCAATAATTGCTCCTTTGACTTTCATGTAGAAATCACTGGCATTATAAATTTTAAGATGAACAAGAGAGAGGAAGAGAGCATACTCTGCTATAAATTTATATAATTGTATCATCAAATCCTGATCATTCTCATAAGTCATATTCACCTTCCCCAGGCATGCAATACCAAATCTTGGATCTGTGATAAAGAAAACAGTAAAATCTGAACATCTTACAACATAAATGCATCACAGCAACAGAACAATCCACGTATAAAGACTCTAATAGCTATTAAAATCCAGAGAGTAGCCAGGTCGATAGTTGACATATTCTGGCATCTTCAGTCCAATATTACAGCTTTGGTACCAGTATCCAAGTGGATTGTAACTAGAACTGACTGACCTCCGCATAAGCAATATATTGCATCAACACCAACAATCAAAGATGAATGGAGCAGGATAAAAGATCACAATGAGTCCTGTTTGATTAATAATCACATTAAAGCTCAACAATGCCAAGTTAAGCATCATTCCCCTTCAAGTTTATTTATTATGACGCCAGCATGTAGCCTATCAGTAACTTTGAAACATACCTCATGTGTAAGTAAATACTTTAATGTTTTCAGGCTTCATTTATCACTTCAAGTTTAATCACGATAAAGGGTGCAGCAAGGAATAGGAGAACAATACATCTCAAGTCTCAATAAAATATGAGACTAATGAAAACTTAAATAATACATCTAACATTTCATTGAAAGCTCTATGAAAGATATTACAAAGCCAAAGATTCCCTAGTAGATAACAAAACTCAAACTAATATCACTTGACTCCTCTGCACATCCCACCCCCACCCCCCCCAAGGGAAACTAACTGTCGCGAGTCTCATCCTTTCCAATAAAGATATCTTAAGAGACTCTTAAGTCAATATGGATTTATGCAAAAGTTTTTCCATGTAGACTTGGAAATTCTAGTTCCAGCCTGCATGTTTTGCATATGCAAAATGATAAATGCACTTACGGAGCAAGGATGTTAATCATCTAGACAAAGATACCTAAACTTTTTCCCATTTGTAGCAACTTATTAACTTCAAAAAGAAAATGAACTCTTCAAGAACCGTAGATATATAATGTCAACTTTGTAAAACTCACCAACACCCATCTCAAGCAATATCTCTTCCTGAATTGCAGTGGTAACAGCAACAGCTTCCTACATAAAATTTATTAGATAATTTAATATTTAAGCTTTCAGAAACTGGCAAAACAAATACAAGGAATAGTCCATGGGTGCAACTAGAGGAATAACACTTTACAAGATGTCAACACTTAAAAGAAACAGTGTACACATGCAAACACGAATTTTGAACGAGACAAATAAAATTTATATCTTCAATCATGAACTCTTACATTTTGTTCTTAATGCAAATGGAAGCGCTCTGTGGTTTGTGGTCAAATATGAATTTTGATACATCAACTACATATGCATTTCTGTACATACTGATATCCCTCCTTGAAAATGGGCAACAAAAATTACCATCTTTCCACACAGAGCCACATTATCACTTCGAATGCAGTGAAAGTAAGCATTTTAAAAATTCAAAGAAGGCCACATTTTCATATCAGATAAAGGAAATTAAATTACACCCTCCATCTCCTGAACTGCAAATCAAGAAGAAAACAAAAGAATGATAATTTCAAACTATTTATCACTTTGGTTTGCAGGTCCTTATCAGTGTAGAGAAAGGGGAAGGGGTGGAAGCAGAGTTTAAGGAAAAAAAAAAGAAGAAGAAGAAGTTCAGAGCACTGGTTCTTTTCCCTATCTCATCATCTAGAAAAGGAACTATAACAAAACCCAAATGAAAATCATGGTGAAAAAAAAAAAAAAGGCCATTACAAAATGGAAAACCATACATAAACAATCAAAGTGAAACAAACTGCACAAGCTGAAACATGCTACAAAACATTTAGAAAAGTTTCTGCTGGCAGGTAATTGAAGTGATTAACCAAAGTCCAAAACCCAGTTGAAGCAACATGAACAAGCATGAAACTCAATCAATGCAATAAATTTCAAAGAATAAAATAAAGATACATTTAAACCAAACACAACAACAAACCAACTAAAAAAATATATTGAGATAATAGTAAAAGAGGGAAGAAAGTTTTTTTACCTTGTTGTCCTTCACAGCATCAGCAATCCTTTTCTTTACATCTAGAAAGAAACAAAAAGAAATGTCAATGAGCTGACAAAAAATGAAAGGAAAAGTTAAAAAAAAAAAAAAAACCGAAAGAGAATGGGAAATGTACCAGGCTGAGAGGTAAGGAAAGCGAAGCGATTGAAGAGATAAAGTAATTGTTCTCTAGACAGCATTCCAGAGGTCTGTAACTGTGGAGATGCCATTGATGAAGATGACATTCTACAAATTTCCTCAGGCGAAGAAGGGAGTGTAAAACATTCTTCACCACTCTTTTTATTTATATTTATGTATTATTATTATTTTTTGGGAAAATAGAAGCTCCTCTCTTTTTATTTATTTTAGGGAAAATAGAATATGATAATTTGAGGCCAGGAAAAGGGCACAACAAAGTACCAAATATCAAGTGCTAAAAAAACCAAATTTAACATCAAACATATGAGGATATAATATAACCCACAATATATTTTTTAAATAATTATAATTACTCTTTTAAAATCTTTTTAATGTCTTTACTATCATATAAATCAGACACGACACGACCCGACCCGATTCAACCTACCCGTTTGACGCCCCTTATAATTTCTTCTGTTTGGTCACAACTATAACTACTTTCAGCCTTGGTATAACTTTTTCCCGCTCTTGCAGCCCATGAACGCTCCCTCAACAAAAACCATAAACTCTGTTCGTTAATGAAGTCAAGAACAAGCATCAAAACCAGGTCTTCCATGGCAACTTCACCTTTCTTCTTTCTCATTATGTTCTCCTTATCTGCCTTTGCTTTTGCATCTCATACAGATTTATCCAATGCGCTAGAGATTCTCTCAAACTCTGGCTATCTATCAATGGCGCTTACCCTTCAATTTACCTCCAAGACCCTCAATCTTGATTCTAAAATCATCACCATTTTCGCTCCATCCGATCTTGCTTTCGTTCAATCAGGTCGGTTGTCTCTTCTCCAGCTCCAATATCACATATCACCTGCACAACTCTTTCAAGATACCCTCAAAACTCTTCCTTTTGGCTCAAGAATCCCCACACTGTTGCTAAATCACTCACTGATCGTCACTACTGCAGATTACAATGCACCGTTTTCGATAAATGGCATTTCTATCGATGAATCTCCCGTTTATGATGAAGGGTTTTTGGTTATCTATGGAATGGATGCGTTCTTTGATACTTCATTTAATATTACTACTAGCACTTCTTTTTCAGCACTTGAGCCGAGCCCTCCTCCAACTACTATGGTTAATAATAATTCCTCTCAGAGTGAACTTAAACACTATGGTTTTGATGTTGATGAGTTTGGCAAGGCATCTGATTGGCTAAGGTCAAGAGGCTATACAACAATGGCGACATTTCTTGGCGTTCAATTGTCAGGGTTTAGAGATCATACAAGATTGACAATCTTTGCCCCACTTGATGAAGCAATCGAAGCATATGTGAGAAACATTACTGACTATTTGGTAATTTTTCGGCGACATGTCGTTCCGAGATTGCTTACTTGGCAGGATTTGGTTAGACTTAGTGATGGGACAATGTTGCAAACATTTTCAGGAGGGTTTGTGATTAATCTGACTTGGTCTGGTGATGTCCTTGTGCTCAATGGTGTTCCAGTTGTAGTCCTTCCAGATATTTATACAAGTAATTGGCTTGTCCTGCATGGCCTCAATCGGTTGCTTATGCCACCAGTGAATCAAAAGATAATTGGAGATTCTTTCTCTGAACTTTTTGCAGAAGATTACCACAATCAGCCAGAGTATAAATGATGATGGAAAACTTTTGACAAATGATGTGTAGGTTCTTCTCTGAAGCTATTCTCCTATTTTGTCTGCCTTCAGATTAAATTCAATGTGTTGTTAAATGTTAGTTTCAGAGACTTTAAACTTCTCAGGCTTGTGTTTTCAGGCTATTAATATTTAGTGGCAACATAGAGGAGACTGTAGTTGAAGTTTGCATTTCCTTTCATTAACTGTTAGACTCACAAGATGTAGTTTCTGTTTGTCATTCAAGAAAAATGTGCATTGAAATGTAGCAGAATTCTTGAAATGTGTTCATTCGTTTCAAACTTTCAGTTATGACACCATAAGAGAAAAACTGCATTTCTGATAAATCATCAGTTGGAAATGAGAATTTAAACAGAAAATTTATCTTAGAGGTCTTACAAATGCACATAATTCGCTTAAAACATTGTAGTTAATTGTACAAAGTCATGCTACAAGTCTACGAGAAACAAAAATGACGTTAACTGCTTGGCGAAGTCGAATGTCAACACCCTTTTCCGTAGCCTTGTCGTTTAAAACACTATCTTCTGAATTTAGAAGTGGACGCTTCAGGGTTACCTAAGGAGGTTTCAGGAGAGTGAGATTGCAGCCTAAAAGCATAGCTAGTACTAGCTCCCTCGCCTGTAGAATCTCCACAGAAACTAGCAAACTCCCTTAGCTTCTTCATCTCATTCTTGGGCTCTATTTTCAGTCCCTTTGCCCGCTTACCTTCTGCAATTCTTTGCTGCATAATGCTTGTGTCCCCAGGTGTGAAACCAGTTGTTTGACTAACATTAAGGCCCGGTGAGCCAGGACTGAGCACAAGGACTACTGTTGCAGTCATGGCACTAAAGGGGTCGGTACTGGGTCCTCTAGTATTTCTTCTAACATATTCAGTTTCGGTACTTTGAGGAGGGACTGAAGCTAGACCTGTTATTGGTTTGGAGGAACAACGGATGACTCTTGAACAATACTTCCTTGGGAGGAAAGGCAGCACAAGGCCCTTAAGAACAAACTTCATTCCAAGCCTGAAAGAATTTTTTGGGGCCGAGCAGGTCTTAGAATGCTTTTTATTATAGCATACCACTCATTTGTCATTTGTAAGTTGAGCAACAAAAGTGAGGAAGAGTAGACCTAGCATTAATAATCCAAGAGTTTTTGCTTCAGTTGGAGTTGAGCCATTCTCCAAGGAAGCTCTTGACGAGGTATAAACCACCTCAGACCTTTTGTTGTCTCAGAATATTCAATGGGTTGGTTCGTTAAGAGCCAGTCTGAGGGGACAAAAACTTGAGGTGTCCAACCATTCCCTGTGATAAAATTTTTTGAGATATTTAAACCAGACTAAAATTATTCGCATTGAATTTTTGGCAGTATCAGGCTACAGATTACTTACATGTAGATTCATTGATGTGTCAGAAGCCATAAAAATTGTACTTTCTGAGAACAGGATGCCCATCGCTCCAACATTTGTAGAGGAAAGAGAAAGAATAACTGCCGTCAATGATGTTACTAATGTTCCCGCAGTCAGAAATGAGTGTAGTGCAGTTGATAGTAGGAGTTGAATCTATATAAACCGAGTCTTAAGTAGTTAAACAGCAATTGGTAAATTTCCAAAGATGCAGCTTTTAGCATAAAGTAAAAATCCTGAAACATCACAACAGGAATATGTATTATTCTTAGAGTGTTTTACTTCAAGAGTATTGGATGCCGAATTTTGGTTTCCTGACACATCATTGACTTTTCCTGCAGGAATGGAAATGGAGACTACATTCTGACTAAACGCCTGGACAGTCATTGAGTATAGAGCTCTCGAGAGTTCCTGAAACCTGCATGAATGTATTTAGGCCCTTCTGATTAATGTTTTATACAGTTGTACTAATTTTTAAGAGATTAAGTATAATGACATGATTAATTGTATCTATGACACCATATGCACCTTCCTTGTAAGTCTCCCTCCGTCCACATCTACCATGGAAGCCTCAAACCCAAAAAATGGCTTTGTAAACTCCACTATCACATTGATGTTGGGTTCCTTTGTGATGCTTGGTGAGCTGGTACTTAGCCCTACCCCAGGCTTGGCAGAATCTTAGAAGAAAACTAGTCATTTAGCTCCATGCTCAGCTAGAAAGAATTGCAGGAACTTCTGTGGACTGTGGAGAGCACAAACTCTGGAATAACATACCATAGAGAAATGTAAGCGAAGGAACTGGTGAAGCAGGAGTGCCTGTTATGCCAATAAGAGAACCTGCTTGTAGTTCAACAGGGATTATTTAAGTTTTTGGTATATTTGTAAGCTACAAAATCAAGAGAATTTGCCAGTATAACATGAAGTTGAATCTGTATCAGTGAAACTGGATAGAAATATATACACAAAATTGAATGGAGTCAATGGACTACTAACTTTAAACATAAACCGGAGATTCGTATGGCATCTATGATGAATAACTATTAAGCTACCAGAATTCAAACAAAATGCTTTCAGGACTTGCTCTGTTGAATTCATAATAGGAATGCTGAAGTCTAAGAAAAGTTCCAAGTCCTCCATTTTACTAGTTGAAAGGACAGTTCTGGGGACCCCATTAAACTCCAACTCGTAGGCAGGAAGGGACATCCATAAATCAACCAGAACTGGTCTTCTATCTAAGACAACCATTTAAGTATGAATAATAGAATTATCAAAATAACGCATTATTCAATAATTTACTTGGCATTCTCAGTGAAATTAAATAGTTTCAGCATCTTACCAAAGCGAATTACTATAGTGGAACCATTTGTCCTCGTAAAACCATTTCCAGCTATCTCTGTACAAAAATTTTCTGCCATTCTAATATCACACGACCATATATACCTTCCATGGGAAGTAATATGTCAAGTTTGTATTTGATGTTCGGTTTGATGATTTTAAGGGAGGATGCATCTAGATGGGCAGGACCATTTATGATGACCTGCAAAAGAAGATAACACCATTCACACTCACAAAACACATTATGCCAGAAACTGGCATGAGATTTTATAAAATGGAGAGTTCTGAGCAAGAGAATTCCTTACATCACAGTTTGATGAGTTCAGGCATTTAAAGCCCACCCGTTCCAGCACAAGTCTCACTGAATTTGATGTCAATTGTTATCAGCATTTGGGTAATTCTGTTTGCTTAAAATCGTTGCAGTTGGTATAATTGTATCTATTAGAAAAACATGAAACCGGCAAGAGGTAAAAATCTTCAAATGCTGAGAAACAAGCAAATATAATGGGAGACAGATGTGCTTACCAATGAACCATGAATAAGCAGAGGAGTTTCTCTCCCTACTGAAGGTTGGTGACATTGAGAAGAAAACGATGCTCATGATTTACACTGAAATTCTTGAACAAAATAACATCGGAAAGACATTGTTTCAAAACCTTGCCATCAAGCAGCAAAATACAAGTTACATAAGTTACATATCTTAGATCACTGTAATAGACCTCAATAAATTCCTGCAGTTTTTTAGCTGTGCCATTATAGCTGATAAGCTTAATTTAGGTTCTCATAATATTCCTGGAAGTCAGAATAGCATTAGTAAGCCAGGGGAGCTGCGAGAGGACAATAGTTAATTTGATGAAAGAAAATTTCCAGATATGTTTCTCTTTTTAGCAACGCATTACATGTCAAAATTTAATATAATTTAGCTTTCAAATTCTCATGCAAATGGTACCTCACAATGTACAGAACAGCCATTGTTTTTAAAAGCATTAGAGCCATCTGGTCTTCTATTTTGAGTACTCAAAAACAGCAGTGGAGAACCTTGACCTTGCGGGAGCTCAAGTAAAATGAAGTAAACAGCTGAGTGAGCTGAGTTCAATGCACCTACCACCATCAATACAAAACAAAAACCCAGTACTCTAAGATACTTCAACAACAAACCTATCTCAAGAACTTCACATTTAAGCAAGAACAATGAAGATGAAGTCTGATGCAGAAATTAAAGGGATTAAAGGGAACATCCATTTATAAAAAGGCTTATTTCCACAAATACACTGAGAAATAAAAGGTACTTTCTCCAAGAACAGTTCCAATCCCTTCCAAAATGCAAATTTTCAGTCAAAACATAACGTTGCACACTAATGACTAACTGGATTCTGGAAAAAGAATAACACATCTAGGCTCAAACATCACCACCTCTAGGCTGGAGTTCAAAGCAAATCATGAATCACAAAATTAGAGTGCTCATTGAACAAAGTAATCTATTTGCATTGTGCCATTACAATGAAAACCCAAAAACTAAGAAGTGAAAAAAATAAAAAAATAAAAAACAGAGAATAGCCTTTCACTTGAGATTTAGCAAATTGGGTTGTTGTCTGCATCGTCAACAGCAGAAGAAGCCAATACCAATTGTGGTTGAGCTCCATAACCTTCCTTTCTCGCCTTCTCTTTCTCATGTTGCAACCTGAAGTACTCTCTCTCACTTTATTAACAATTAACGACGGGATCTATTATCGCTTTTTGCATGTCCACGGAAATTTATAGTGGGCGCAAATTCTCCCAATTTATGTCCTACCATACGATCTGTTATATAAACAGGCAAATGCTCCCTTCCATTATGGACAGCAATAGTATGGCCGACCATTGCGGGTATAATGGTAGATGCTCGGGACCAAGTTATTATTATTTCTTTTTCCGCTTTTGTATTAAGCTTCTCGACTTTTCTTAATAAATGATTCGCTACAAAAGGAAATTTTCTGTTACTGCTGGGATTTTCAGGCTGCACTTCCCGTGGGTAAACACTTACCGTCTTCCTATCGGGACCGTACTTCTCAAATTTCACAAGCCCAGAGAAAAATGTTTGGTCCTTCCCAATCCCCACGTTCTTTCCTGGATGAAACTGAAAATTTATTCAAAGTTAAAATAAATTATTGAAAAATTAAATATAAATGGGTGAAATTAGAAATTAAGGACGAACCTTGGTTCCGCGCTGACGAACAATAATGGCACCAGGCTTGTGAGCGGATTCGATGGTTAACGGGAACGGCGTTTGGTGTGAGAGGGAAACGGTGACTGATCTCGGAGCCACGCTGAATTCGCCCTTGAAAAATGATGACGAAGAGCTTGACGATAAAGACAGACCATTAAAAGCGCCGATTAGGTTTAGACTCGTTGAAACTGCGGCCATTTTTTTTTTTTTTTTTTACTAAAACTCTTTCAGTTTTTGGCTGAAATGAAAAAATTTAGAAGAAGAATTGAAGAAGACTGAGACCTTATCTTATCTTTAAATTAAGTTCAGTCGCGTCACAGCTGCCACGTCATTTTAATTTCTGCTGGTAAATTTTTTTTACTATTTTACCATGCCTTTGAAATGGGCTCATGGGCCACAAACCTATCGATTGAGGTGTGCTTAATGGGGTCGGCCCATTCTACCAACTAAAAAACATATATTGAGGTAATGGTAAAAAAGGGTTGTCTTTTACAGCATCAGCAACCCATTTCTTTACAACAATGCTATAGACACTGGTGTTTTTACACCGAAATTTTGTATTGGCTTATATGTGTGCTGACTCAGACTATTCAACGTATTTTAGTGTTATTAAATTTTTTCTAACGAACGGTCGTTCACTAATATGGACGAGAGTCCATTTACTACGGACATGCGTCCTCATTTAGAGGACACCTGTCCATTGCTAAATGAAATAAAAATATTTAAAAAAAATTAGGGACGACCGTTCATAGGTTATGAACGGCCGTCCATACATATTGGACGGGCGTTCATATGTTAATGGACATCTGTCCCTTAATTTTGGACAGGCGCCCGCAAATAAGGGACGCCCGCAAATAAGGGATCCTCGTCCTTTTTTTAAAATATAAAAATTTAAAAAAAATCTGGGACGCCCGTCCACAAATTGTGGACAGGCGTCCGTAATGTGACGCCCGTCCACAATTTGGTTTAAAAATATTTAAAAAAATATTTGGACGCCCATCTCCATTCCTTAAGGGACGCCTGTCCATACTTAAGGGACACCCGTCCATTCCTTATGGACGATCGTCCTTTATTTTTGGACGGGCGTCCCTACTCTAATTAAAAACAAAAATTTGAATTAAAAAACGTTTAGGTTAAAAACTTTTGGGGAAAGTGTTTAAAAAAAAAATAGGCAGCGGTCTTCTTCTTCTTCTTCTATCTGCGCTCTGGTTCATCGTGTTCTTCATCTCATCTGCGCTCTGGTTCATCGTCTTCTTCATCTCAAAAAACAAATCAGCCGCGGTAATTAGACACTTTCGTTTTTCAATTTTTTTTTTAATTTTTTTTTTATATTGGATGAATGTGTTGGATTTACATTTGTGTTGAATGGAGTTGATTTGATAAAGAGAAATCTAGTCAATTTGGTGGGACTGGTTTGTGTGATTGACAAATAGAAGTGTTCTGTTTTGGGTGTTTTTGGCTTGGAAAAAGATAACATTTTTGTTGGTTGTGTTGTTCTTTGTTGATTATGTCTAAAATTTGTAGTCAACCATTGCATTGCTAGGCAAAAATTAGAGTGTCTAGTGGACAAGGTTAGATGATAAGGGTTGTGCAGTTCCTGCCTTATATAATGTCCTTTTATCTTGACACCAAACTCATTCGACCCAAACATCAATTTTCTTCCTAGTGGTAAAGAAAAAGTAAAATGGGCAGTGTACTCATAAAGCAGAGAGTTGATAATCCGAGGATTATACTAGTTTATTTAAGCTTTTAGGCCAGATTTCAGATACTTCTTAGTTATTTTTGCCTGAATTGCTACTTAATTCCTTACATTTCTTGTTTCAGGTTAAAATGGACATTTTGAGTGAATAAAGACGAATTTGGAGTTTCTGGACTTAGAAGCAAGCAGAGGGCAATTCTGTATTTTCAAAATTCTTCAGGAAGCTTCACCGTGGCGAAAGAAGCCAGTCACGCACCAGATTCAATTCCTTTGTCGCCGCGGCGAGATTCCTTCTTTGCCGCGGCGAAGTCTGCGTTCTCCAGTTTTTGTAAAATGCACAGTTCCGTTTTTAGGCTAAGTTTTAAGATTTTGGGCGAGGTATAAAAGAAAGACTTAGTTTTTTGTTTAGGGCGTTCGTGGAGAGATAGACATCAGTTTTACATTTTCGTAGATTCAATTTTGAGTGATTTTTGGATTAAACAAAGTGTGAAGATTCGAGGTGAAATCAGTGGATTCGTCAATTAGGAAGATTCTTTTTCTTTTCTCTTGTTTCCATGATGTTGAACTTGAAATTTGTCGTTTCTTTTAATTGTTTTATTGATTTAGCCATGAACTAACCTATTTTGGGTTAGGGTTTTGATGTAGTTCGGATTCTAATGGGTTAGAGAGTTGATGATTATTGATTTCATATGATTTTGCTTTGATTGTATGACTATTATGTATTTATTGCTTTTATGTGATGAACATGATGAGATTGAGAGATAATTCATGTTAAGCTTCTTGGGTAATCAACATTGTATTATTGGATGCTAGAGATAGATTCAAGAACCAATGAAATCATCTAGGATTCTTGTGCTTAATGAGCTTAGATTTATTAACTTTCAATTTGTTGGGTGCGGAAGGTTAATAGGGAAGAGTAGGAAAACATAGCCTGAGAAGGTATGTTGGACACCTTAGAGAGTTCGATTTACAATTAATGCATGTGAATATGAATTTAGTTTAATTCTTTAGGTTTAACCCATAGAGTCTGAATGAAGTCAAAACCCTACTTATTTTAAATCTTGCTTTCATATTTTAAATTTTATTTTAGTAAAATTTTGTTTTAGTTATAGTTTAAATTGCTCCCTTAAATCCAAAGAATTCGATTGCTTCAACTTGAAAACGGTAGAAAACTTAGTGCTTAGCAACAATCCTCGTGGGAACGATACTCACTTATCACTCTATTACTTGTGCGACTAGTATACTTGCTACATATTGCATGTTGTAGGAAACATGCATCAAGTTTTTGGCGCCATTGCCGGGGATTGAGTTTTAAGTTAACATTGAGTTTTTCTATAGTTAGCTAGATTGAAGTTTTAATTTTTGTTTTTAATTTTTAGTTGGTTTGTGATCTCACTTTCTTTCGTAAATTCTGTGTAGTTTATGCGAAGAGCAAGACGTCAGCCAGTGGTTCCTGTTGCTTTTTTAAAGTAAAAGTTTTGGTTGCCTTCTAATGTCTTCTTTTTTCTTCCTAGTGGTTCATGGTGTGTTTTGTTTGTTTTTTTAAAGTAAAATGACCAGGTATGTTGTTAGGCTATCCAGTTTTAGTTTATGTCTATCATACTCCTATAAAACCATTCACTGTAGAAAAAACCAACTAAATCCAGGGAAATAGGGTAAAACAGGGGACTTGTTTTTGGTTGGCAAAAGGTGTTCCAAAAAAGGCTTATACTTGCATGAAGTTTCAATGTTAACTCATTGTACATTTGAATGCAAAATGTTGCATTTTCTTGAATCAGTGTTTGCTTCTGCCAGTGTTGGTTTTGGGCAGATATGTTGGTATTTGGTTTTTATGAAATACTTTGTTGTTTTATCTTATGTTGCAATTGTTATAATGGGATATATATTATTCCTATGCAATATATTTAGAATTGTTTTAATAAGATTTCATTTTTTTGGAGCATTATATCAATACCTTTTTAATTAGATATGTACCTAGTTTTCCAATAGGGTTTACAGAAATTTAAAGAATATAACTCCATATGAACGTGTGACATTTTGTCTTATTTGGATGAGTAAATCATTTCTATCCTTGTCTCTGTTATGAAAGTTATGATATAGTATGGCTTAAGTTGTCAATCTCATATGCTTAATTATTTTTCTAAAATCAATTGAAGGGCGCAAAACAGTCAAACCATGATGGTATATTTTAGATATCAAGCTTTATAACTTATTAGAAAATTAGAGGACAATTCCCCAACTTGAAGATTTTTAAAAACTTGACCTTCTTGTGCTGGCTCAACAGTGAGGACAGTATTGTTGTCCCTTTTTTTTTTTTTTTTTTCTTTTGTAGTCAATATTTTATGTCTTTTATAATATAATTCAGTCTTCTTTGTTTGCCAAGATGTTGGCTATCAGATTTTACCATTTTGTCTCTGAATTTTTAGCTCTTCACCATTGCTACAAATGTCAAATGTGAAATAGCGTTGTGGAAATACTTTTTATCACTTTTATTTTTCATATTTACTGGTTTCAGCAGTACCTGACCAAACTCAATATTAAGGCTTGTGTATGTGTATATCCAGGCAGATTTGGTTTAAGCAGTACCTGACCAGACTCACTTTTCTTGTCGATTGTTTTAAAATCTACATTTTGCTTGACATATTGAGCTTAGTTATCAACACAAATTCTAGGAAGTTTAATGAACTGACAGTGTTCTAAACCAAATTGAGCTGGTTCTAAACTTGTATGGATATTGTCATCAAAGAGACTTTGTTTCTATTGGGAGGAAAGGTTCAGCAACAAAAAATGACTATATTCTTTAACATTTTGATTAATTTCTCTTTTCGATTGTCTACAATGTGATCGATTTTGATAGTATACTGTTAAAATGGATACATGGTTATGCTGTATGTGCTTTATGTTTGTGATATTGGTTTAATGTCATATATGTTTTGTCATATAACATGAATTACTTATGGATATGTTTTTTTCAGGGTTTTAGAAGAAAGCAGAAAATGGTAAGAGCAAAAAACACAACCACTTCGGGTGGAGGCTCATCGTCATCTGGAGTCCAATTTCGAGACGTGCAACATAAATAGCAATACAAAGAGATGGCGAAAAGAGATATTTATCTTGGAAAAAGTTTGGATACAAGATTTATAACTAGTTTGGGTTTAGGTGATGAGATTAATGGTTGGATTCGTAATTTGAAATGGGAGCAGTTGGCGAGTATTACATATGACGGATATAAACATTTGATTTACGAGTTTTTTAGTAGTTTGGAAGTTGTGGAGACAAGTACTGATGGTTTACCGTCGTATACAATGTTTTTTAGATTAAAGAATCATAATTGTGTAGTGAGGCCACAGGACTTAGCAAACTGGATAGGAATTGATTTTGAAGGTTTGGATAGCGTACCCAGAACGTGGGATTCCAAACAAGCTTGGACGGATGTTTTTGGAATAGGGGTTTATCATCCACATAGGTATAAATCTACGAAGTTAAGAAATCCTGCCATGAGAGTTTTTCACAGATTTCTGACATTCACATTTAATGGCAGGAAAGAGACAAA